AGCTCTTTCGTTTCTCAACAGTTTTCTGCACTGCATCCACAAGCATTTTTTTCACTTGTTCTCTTCTTCCATTGCTTTCTCAACTCCTTCTAGCATGAGCTGTGCTATGTTGAATCCCACAACATCCATCACCTCTACTTTCATTGTCTCATGTTTTAAGAGATTAATTATGTTTCTATACTTTGTGGAAGATTTCACCAAATCACTTTTACTCTTAGGAACAAAGTCCTTGAAGTACTTCATAACTAAACTGAAAACAACCTGTCTTCTCACTGGGAAGTCATCATGTTTCCCCAAAAATGCAGTAATGAAAATGGAAAAACACAAACTGCATTCACAAAAATCAAAGAAACATTGACTTTACTGACCAATTTTTTTAAAAAACAAACTGACAAATTACTGACCAAGATGAAAAAACTGACTTTTACTGATTTTACTGACCATTTCCCACCCCTGATTGTATTACTGTACATACATAAAAACAAACAAACAAACTTGAGTACTACAAAGCCTACATAGTATAAATATCTAAACAAGTAAGGTGAATGCTGCCAAAATTAGCAGCCCTGAATCTCCTCCTATTCTCTCCCCCGCAACACCTACCATTGAAAAGTGTGCAATATCCTATCATGATCAGTGCTATCCCCCCTCCTCTCGTTCTTCTTCACTGGTTGCTCCTTGTGGGAAGGAGGACACTTGTGGCGCAATGAGGTCACATAATATGTTTTGAAACAGTGGTAAGTTGTTGGAAGACAGAAGAGGAGAACAAGGTAAATATGCCATACATCCAAAGTCTGGTTTTCAGACTAAAATATTTGATTCCCTGGATCCTCTCTACTAATGATGACACCTCCCTCTTTCAGAAGAGCCCCCTTCATAAGGAGAACAGCTAGGCTCGAGTCCAGCAGCACCTCAGAGTCCCACAAGATTTGGGGGGTATAAACTTCCAAGAGTCAAAGCTCCCTTTGTCAGGTGACTCAAATCTAGCTGTTCTGCTGGAGACCAACACGCCTACCCTCCTAAACTATCTTCATAAGGAGAAGGTTCCTTGCACCAGATGAAAGCACTACCATTCCTAGAGCGGATCCATAGGACCTGGCCTCCCAGTTTCAACAGCAGCTATTCTGAATTGACTCACAAATTGTGCAAATCTATGACAAAGAGCTGACTTCAACAACAGGGTCATGCAGGAGCAAGGAGAAACTGTCACTGGTAGCATCCAACAACATGGCAAAGCCAGGTATTATCACTCCTTGGCTTCCCTAGGTCTCAAGGCAGCTGTAGAGGATAGCAACAGTGTGATTCACAGTATAGATCAGGGGCATCAGGAGGCTATCTCATCATGCAGTTACATGTGTTACACACTGAGCTTTTAAAGGAGATTCATTGTGCCTGCTGGTCATTGGAATCCACCCAGTTACTCAACAGAACAAGGTTTTTCCGCACATACAGATTGCAGTATGTATCTATCCATATTTTGTAACCTGAAAGCTCACTTGTTTAATTATATCTGTATGAAGACATATTGTGAATTAAATCATAATTTAAACCCAAAACAGAAGGTATCTTCTTCAGCATTTATGTCTGTCATCCATATCAAAGGCCACTAATCAAAATCAATAAGAGAACTCAAGAAGCTCTCTCTCTCTCAAAAAAAGGAACATCCTCACTGGCTCAGTAACCATCACGAACACTTATGTACAAGTGGAAAAGACTGCACTTAACTTTTAAGAGAAAAGTAGGTTCTTGTCATTTCTGCTATAATTTGTGCTCATTCTTTACTTGGCCAGTAGGAGGCATTCTTTATCAAAGCTTTAACAAACCAAGGGATGAGTTTAACAAAAGTAATAGACTAACTGTTCAATCATTTTGTTCCAGAATACCCTTGAATAGACATGCCAGCTGGAGCACATGGTCAACCAACATTCCAGGTCTATTTGAACCACTGTTGCTATTAAAGCAACCTTCCTGAGCAACAGGGTGTTATAGCAATACACTGCCTGTGCAGTCTTTGAAAATGGTTTTCCAAAAGCAATTAGATGGGATGGAGGCAGATAAGATTAGCTTCTCCCATTTCAGATTTTAAGTGACTTGCATGGGGCTTGGCTATTTTTCAAATGTTCTGATCCCGGGCTGTTTAGGTAAGAGTGAGTGTAACAGGCTCCTATAAAGCGACCAAGGTGACCCACATTGCCTATTAAGAAACTGGGGAACTGGGCTCTTAATAGCCTTCCCTTCAGTTGTTGTCCTCATGTATATATATATAGTATAGTTGCGGAAGTGGGTATAAAGGGTTTGGGTTTGCTGTCATGAGGTAGCTTTGTTGGGAGTAAAAAAAGAGTACAGAGATCACTGAAGCCGGAGTTGTGTAACAAAGAAGATTTACTTTGAACTATGCCTCAAAACTAACTGGCAGCCAATATAGTCCTTTCTAACCAGAAGTTACATGATTTCTGTACATTAGTTAAACAAATTAAGTATTGCATAGGAGCTATTTTAAGTTTCTCAACGCAGTTTTCAAAGACAGACCTAAGAGGAACACGCTGCAGTAATATAACCTGGATGTGATCAGTGCATGGATGCCTGTGGCCAGCCATCACTTTTAAAGAAAAGGAACAGTGACTAAACAGTGACATGACTAAACTGTGTTCTGATAATGTTCTTAGACAGCACCAAAAAAACCTGGTGTTCAAGGAAGCGATGCTTGTGAAACAGCTTTATCTGTGAATGGCGTAGCAAACATGTTACTGTGAGCCTCTGTATTTTCCAACTCTTGATATCAAGGCCTGATGTAAAACTCCTTCAAAACTCAGAATAGCTCAGCGAGACAGCACCTGCACAGACACTATGGCAGCAAAGAAGTAAGGCCACTCTGTCACTAAATCAGCATGAAAGTGTGCTGTTGTGTTTGGTGGGACTCATTCTAAGCTTTCCTCTACTTTTATTTGACACTGGCACTCAGAACGCATTTCAAAAATCCACCTGTGGGAACAGCTGCATCATCAACTGTGACTAGATGTCAAATGCCCCCTTTGATCAAGAATCCTTTGTTTTAACTTCATTATTAAATTTGGAGCAGGATTAAAAAAATTAAATATCTTTGCTGAAGCCTAATAGTACATTTCAACATGAAAGCTGAATTTGAACTTGAAAGTGAGGAGGAGAACTAAAGAAAGAAAGGGAAAAGGAGGGCATTACAATCAATAATTCCATTCCTAAAGAGTTGTTTTTATTATCAGTAAAGTCCTCCCACTAGGACTACAATTTTGATCCCACCTTTCTCTCACACACTGATAACTCTTTCATTTATCACTTAAGGTTGCAGTTCAGTTCTCTGCTATATTCTCTTGATAGCAGTAGTGTTTAAGCATATTTTAAAGCCCGTAGACATGCGGATTTCATTTTAAGCTCTGAAGGTGTCTGTATAATAGGCAAATGGGAGTTTTTAACATTAGAGTCAATGTGGAGGATCTTACAAATTTATGCGCCTGTACACACACACACAAACATATCGCAGGTATTGTACCAGTGCTTAAGCTCTTATTATACAAAAATTTGAAATGTTCATAAATGATGAGCTCAGCTCACTCTATTTCAGTATTTAATTAAGAGTCCCTCACAAGCAGAAAAATAATGTATTTCTATTAATAAGCTTGGACATTAGTTTGCACATTATTTCATCCATGCAAGGGAAACCTACACTTTATTCTATCCCATCAGTTCTATCCTACACATCTAGCTATAGTCTCAGTTTTTGACTCAAGTGCTTCCACTTCGCCTATATCCCACCAAACTGAGACTCCAGTGATACCTGGTGCTAATACTTCCATGCTATTTGTAAGCTGTTAGGCTTGTAAGGTTTGAAAGCATTTCCCATTTAAATCTCTCCGAACAACAGATCAAGGACAAGATTTTGTTTCTGTGACTCATCTTTTCCCACAAAAACAAATCAGAAACCTCTCTAGATTTAATTTACACTTTTAATCACTGTATCTTGTTTAATTATAATATTGACATCTATGACTCAGTGGGTGATTACAGAATCTAGAACTATATGTACTTCATTGAAGCGTGGTACTCTTTAAATACAGACTCCTAAAATAGTTCATCATATCAATTACTGCATTTGAAGAAATTCATAAGCAATAACATTTTAAGAAGTTAACGCCACTAGGAAATATAAACCACTAGACAAAAATAAGCTGAAGCCCAGGCCATTTAGAAAGTATTTTCAGGATCATTATTTGTTCCACATGCTAAGCCAAGTAGACAGACAGACTTGCAGAATCTTTACGTATGGATGAGACAACAATAGCAGAGGTTTGGATTTATTTGGGAATAAAGAACACTACCAGAGGTAGTGATGGACAAACTTTTTGTTTAAAGGAAATGGATAACTGCTGATGTTTAATTGACAAGTGATGCAACAGAGTTCCAATCCATATATTTGGTGGGGCCACTGCTCAAGTCCCAGTTGTACCAGTGTCAACATGCAGCATGGATTCATCTGCTCCTGCTGGGAGGTGTTAGCGTATTTGCATGGCTGATGATCTCTGTGACCCTCACACCAGACAAGCAGATCGCTTACAGGTCTGTCTGAAAGCAAGCCATTTTCTTATTAAAGTCAACATTAACTTCCTAATAAGTTTTAGAAGAGGAACATAAATGTTTCATACAGTTGCCATGCCATTTCTGCATTCTTTTCGTGCCCTGCTGTAATTTATTTATTTTTTTGAGATAGAACAACCAGAAATGTTCTCTGGCTCCAAAACTACCACAGAGATATTTTCTGAGATATTTTCAGAATTATAGCCTCTCTCTTAATTTCTAACAGCATTTTCTTTGATGTACCTATGTGTTGATGATCTGAACCAAAGTCAAAAGTTTCATAAGCCTCTGCCTATGGCAGCAATAAAGCAACTGAACTGAGCAATAGATAGTTATTTGACTGTTCATTAAATTATAATTTTTTGAAATTTAAGAGCTAGCCCAAAATATACCATCTTTTTCCTTTTGTCCTGTTCTGTGGGAGGCTCCTCTTCTTCTGTCACTTTGGGCTCTTCAGAAATGGACATCAGCATGCAACTAAGAAAACAAATAGAAGTATTTTCAACTTTAGATTTCAACTAGGAGTTGAAAGCCTAACAAAGAAAATTGCTGTGAAAATTGATTTATTACATGCCAATATATGTAATTTAACAGAACTGTCCTTGCAGCAGGTAGCATATGGAACAATATATTAACTGTGTTCTGGGCCAGATTTGTTTTTGAGATTTTGGTGTTTCACATAGCGCAACAATTTTAACTGGGGTTTACATGGGAGCATCATTCCAGTGTTGTTGGTAAATGAAGTACAAGCCAGAATCTCCGGGGGCGGGCAAAGAGAGAAAGAATTCTTTCTTGTCCCACTGACTTATTCCTATTTTTAACTTCATCCCAAATTCTTCTGTAACATGACAGATACATCACACACCAAGATAACTAATTCAGCAGAAGACAATGAGTATGCTGCTACCAGTTTCACCACCTACTGCTCTGACTTTCTGTCTCTTTGGTTGTAATCTCATGATAAATTAATAAACCAGACATGCAAGACAGATTACTTCTTCAGTAGTACAAGAAAATAAGTAGACCCCTGCTGGATCAGACCAGTGGTCCATCTAGTACAGCATTCTGTTTCACATAGTAGCCAACAATTTGCCTTGGAGGGTCAACAAATAGAATACAGAAGCCTATGATGTTGCCTCCTAGCAAGTATTCAGATGTTTGCTACCTCTGGATGCAGAGGTTTCCTTTGGTCACCACAGCTAGTAGCCACTGATGAACCTAGCCTCCATCAATCTGTCTAATCCCTTTTACAGTTGTGCAAAAGCAGGCGATGGCAAACCACCTATGAACATCTTTGCCTTGAAGGTCCCTTACTGGGACCACCACAAGTCGGCTATGACTTCCTTTTTGTCAATCTTGAATTTATTGTCCATCTACCACTGGAATTTATTGTCCATTCACCACTGGTTGACCTCAAATTCCTGTTCTATGAAAGATTTGGACAAAATTCTATCCACTTTCTCTATTCCATGCTTAATTTTATAAAACTCTATCATGCCCCCCCCCCCTGGTTGACTTTTTTCTAAACTAAAGACTTTTAAATTTAAAGTCTCATAGTTCAAAGACTTTGGCCTTTCCTCATAGGAAAGATGCTCCAATCAGTTAATCATTTTGCCTGCCTTCATCTGTACTTTTTCCAGCTCTGCAATATCTTTTTTGAGATATGGTGACCAGAACTGTACACCACATTCCAAATGGAACTGCACCATAGATCTATACCAGACAAGTACAGAACTGACAGCTTTGTTTTCAACTCATTAACACCAAGCACTCCAGCTCCCCACATCTTCACTCAGAAGCTTCTGGCATTGACCTATATATACTTGTGCCTCATTTCCCTAGTCAATAAGCCTCACTTTCCTCAGCCCTTTGTCTTTCTTCACATGACAATTTTTTACTGCTATCTTATCCTCAGTTCTATCCTGGGCCAACAAATATTACCCCAAGCATCATAGCACGTACAGTAATCACAGAGTAATTTAGTCTTTTACTTACTCTTTGAATGTCCTTGTTTCAGTATCTTCAGTCATGACATCATGCAGCCCTTCTACTGAAATGTTTATAATACCACAAAATTTATCTTGGATAATACTGAAAGAAAGCAGAATAGTTTTGCTTAAGTAGATAAACTGGAAGCTTGCTTAGCAGTTTTAAGGAAGTACTTAGTGCTTAACTAAGCACACTGACAGGCTGTCTTCCCAAAAGGAGAGAATGACCTCAACCAGGAATTTTCAACTTTGCCAGACCCAGGACCCACCTTTAACTCCAGGTAGCAGCATGAGATCCACTGAGCGGCAAGTACATGACAGTAACCGTGTGACCACCAGATGAGAAACCAGAGTTTCTGAACCTGCCCATGCTAGAAAGCAATCCTCTCCACAGTTAAGTGACCTTGCCTCACCACCAGTGTTCCTCTCAGCATGCTGTTCAAATGAAAGGCAGGAAATGTGGTACCCTTGCTCTCAACATGTGCCATAGCAGTAAGTCCTTCCCAATGCAGCAAAACAACTAAAAACAAAAAGTGCCAGCTTTATAAGGGTTCATGAAACCTACCTGAGATTTTCAACCTATGGGTCTAAGACTGACCTAGATTAATAGCCTCTGAAAACAAACTCATGTTTGTTGTTTTCTACTAAAATGACAACTATAAAAGTAGAAAACGGGGGGAAATTAGAAAACTACATAAGTGAAAGATGTTGACACAGATCCATATTCATAGTAACAGGCTGTGAGCACCTATCTGCAAACCTTATTTGGTGTAGTCAGCTTTGACACATATTACAGGACGGGGGCTAGATTTAATCTTCTCCCTCCAGGTTCATTCTGTCAGACTTGACAGCAGACCTTCTGTCACGAATTGTACATGTGTACCCAATTAAAGGGAAGAACAAACAACCCAAGGTCTCAGATGAGAAATCAAACATTGAGAACCACACACCTTCAGACTGAATCCAGGAAAATATACACAGGAAAGCCTTCTAAGACCTGATCCCTCTTGTTGGCTGACAATTTTTAAAACTACTGAGCTTATGCTATGCAATAATAGTACTGACATTAATTTCTGCCTTACTTTACGATTAAATTCACACATGCATTCTTGTATTTGAAACTGATACAGAATTGTTACATCTCACAGTTAAATTAAGTATCTAATAGATCAGCAGACATACACACATGCGTTTCTAGCCAGAACAGCATGAAAGATGGGCCTCTAACAGCTTATAGTGGCTACTATGTTCAGAAGTTTTAGCAAAGTCATGCAATACAAGCATAAAATGCAATTCAAAGTAAAATGCAAGCAGCATTTTAAAGGAGGCTTAGTTTAAAACCAACAGCTATGAATAGTGTGTTGCAATTAACTTTGAGGATGGCTATCCCATTATTTTGAATGATCTGGTCAAGTGATCTAGATCTCAGCCACCATTACATAACTTTCTCTGGGTAAAATGTTAGAGCTACACATTGTTATTCTGCTCTTCTTCAGCTTCATCATGATTGCGTCTTACCCTCCCTAGTGGGATGTCAAGCACCAGTTATCATATGCCTTTACTGTATAGAGAGTTTCTTGGTCAACCCAGTAGCAGGATACTTGGTGCGGAATCTTCCTATATATGTGTATTAAGCATAGCTTCAAAATTTAGTATGGGTTACTATACACATGGAATTCACTGCCACAGGAAGTGGCGGCGGCTACAAGCATGGATGGCTTCAAAAGGGAATTAGATAAGCATATGGAGCAGAGGTCCATCAGTGGCTATTAGCCACAAGGTATAGACAGGGACTCTGGGGCAAGTGATGCTCTGTCTTCTTGGTGCTTTGGGGGGGTCAACAGTGGGAGGGCTTCTAATGTCCTGGCCCCACTGGTAGACCTCCTGATGGCACTGGTATTTCTGGCCACTGTGTGATACAGAGTGTTGGGCTGGATGGGCCTTTGGCCTGATCCAACATTGGTGTCTCTTATGTTCTTATATAACTACGAAAAGTCATGTGTACTTGCACTGTCAGGCAGCATTTGGAAAATGTTAACTTAACATGTACACCAGGTCTTATATGAAAAGCAGCCCTTAACTGGGAAAATTTCAGTATGTATTTGTTAACTATGCCAAATTTACTAGTACAGTAGAAATGCTTCAAGCCTTTTTTAATGTCTTTACACCTGAATTTAAAGATAGATTCCACACTATGAAAGCGTTCTGCTCCACTGATAATTCTACCTGTGTTAAGACTGAAAAATTTATTTATTTATTTTATTTCATTTATACCCCGCCCTCCCTGCACGCGGGCTCAGGTCTATGTGACAGACAACCCCACAGGTTATTTTGGTATTCTAAGAACCGCACAATCAGTTGATTTTACCATAAATCTGGAGACTAAAAATGGCTCTTAAACTGGTTATTAGTTATGGTGATGTTTCAGTTGTGGCTCACTTGTAAGAAAAGGAAAGCACATTACTCTGCAGAAATATTTAAAACTGCCTGATAAAGACAAAATAATATTGGCTTATATAAATTATTTTATATAAAGTAAAAATATGTTTCATAGGATTTCCCTTCTTCAGAATTCAGGACTCTCTCTAGAAACAGGAAGCTTGGTATATCCCAGTAAAATTCCTTTTGTTAATATTTGGTTGACAAATTTTAGTTCTATTTAAGGTCTGATGGATCATTATGCCTGTGATTGTAATGAGTGTCACTCACCCCTTCTGCTCTACAGGCTCATTAACTGGCCTGATGATTTATTGATATGTAGAGTTTTCTCTTCTAGCAGACAGATTTGATGTGATGCTTCTATCCAATTCTATGACTTAAATTATTCTTATTATGAACCAAAGAAGCTGGTAGATTGGGGTAGTAGCCTTTTGAACAATATGGAGATTTTCAGGTAGAAAATGTAATTATTTTGTGCCCTCTGACCTCTGCATAATAAGCTGTAAGTATGAGCCTACTGATCAAATAAAGGCAGATTGTGCAAGAGACATGGTATTTAATTACATTTTTCCCTGCTTCCATCTCAAAATACTGTGGCCTGTTACTGGCTCTAGTAATCACCAAACTAATCAAGCCTTTACCATCACACTGAAATTCTGTAAGAGTAATATCTTCAGAGTGAAAGGCTATGAAGAAAAAGACTTGCAGTTAGCAATACAAAAGCTCTTCCTTTAATCCTGGTTTAAACTACTTAAGAAAGCCTAGAAACATTTATGACATACCTCTGAAATACTTCAGTTTATAGGTTGCTGGCTTATAAATCATAGTGTGACACTGTAAGTTCAATATTGATAATTAATTGTACACATTACCAACTGTGTAACCTCTGCTATTGCCATATTTGATCACTCAGCTTGTAAATAAAGGAAGGTTCATACCGAGCTCAAACCTACATTTTGCACATGACATATGAGCATCAAATCCTATATAACTCATTGCTGTGATGAAGACAAAGAAGATGAAGAAAACGAAGAAGAGGAGGAGAAGACTGGATTTATACCCTGCCCTTCAATACCCGAAGGAGTCCCAGAGAAGCTTACAATCCCCTTCCCTTCCCCTCCCCACAACAGACACCCTGTGAGGTAGGTGGGGCTGAGAGAGCTCTCTCTAGCACTGCTCTTGAGAGAACAGCTCTGAAAGAACTTATGACTCACCCAAGGTCACACCAGCAGCTGCATGTGGATGGAAAGGTCATAAGAATCAGATATGCACATGTTTCATACATGCAGTGTGCCATACTCAATTCACAGCATGTTACTGCTTGATTCAAAACCAAAACCTGAGAAGTTTGGGGCCATGCTATTTTTGCCCAAATCTTCAAGAGGATATCAGAATAGTGAATGGTTGATATTACCTAATCTGTCCACCAACTTGACTAATAGCAGATTTTAAATCAACATTACTTAATTTTTCTGAAGCAAGGTTTTGCCAAGTGCACTGCAAATATTCATGTCACCTTCACATCCAGGTGCTTTAGAAAGATGGGATCTTATCACCACAGTCATAAATTGAGGTCAGCTTTGACCTGCTTCTTTTTGTTGTTGCTGCTGCTGTGGAGGGATGACATCCATTCAACTATTGAGATAAACTTCTCCCCTCTTACTACTGAAATATCCCTTTGGGGGAAAGGCCCATTTTAAATGCAACAAACACAAATTACAGTGCCACGAAGATGGTGTCCAACAGATAAAATACTGTTAGAATTGTTTGGTATTCGATAGTAAAAACTGCAGAAGGGTTTTTTAAAAATTTTTATTTTATTTTTAAACTTCTGATCTGAGAGCTGACCATCTGGAGAGAGAATTGAGTACGGCAGCCATCGTTAAAGCAATATCAACCAAGGACAATTAACACTAGCACTTATGTCATCAATTGGTTGTGGTATTGTTTTAAATGTTTTACTTGTTTTTATTGTAATTTATGCGCTGTTTTATGTAAGCAGCCCTGAGCTGGCCTCGGCTGGGAGGGCGGGGTAGAAATCTGACTAAATAAATAAATAAATAGATGGTGAAGTTCTCTTACACATTCTTATTTTAATTAGTATCATATATGACAAAATACATACTACAGGATACACAGTTTGTACACTGGAAATGTAAACTATAGATATGACCATTTCCCCCCAGGAATATTTAACTTCTATATTTAATTTCAATAGTTAATTTCAGTAGGCATGTGTGATGGTCTGGGGTGGAAGGAGTGGGGACTAAAATATTGTTGGCAGGAAAACCTTCACATGGCCCAGTGCCTCTATCCTCACAATGGTAGCACATATTGATTTTTTTAAATAATCTATTTATTGAATTTTCAAGTAATAGAGAGGAAAAAGGATAAATACGATTTACATATCACAATATTTACGTTTAAGTACATTAGTTAATTATACATTTCATCCATATCTCATTAATTATAATAATCCAAATTACCACATATATCAAGTTTATCTAAGTCGCTCCATTAACAAGGTTTATAACATCTCATAATTCATTACAGCAACACTCTTACACCTAAACCTTTCCCAAACTAGCTAAACTATTCCCATGGAGCTATTCTATTCCTTTAAATCATTTAGGATCTTATTTCCCATTTGTTCTGCTCATAAGACCAGTTGATTAGAAGTCTTCACCTTCCCCCCCCCCCAAAATGACTTATTGGCCTTTCTTATTCCATAACAGTCAGTCATTATTCCAGACTTACATTATCATTACATTAAGAGGCCCAGTTGTAAACAAAGCACATATTGATTTTGGAATTAACTGAGGACTATCTGCCCTCATTACCCTTCCAACACCAAGCACACCTGTGAAAGAGGCCAAAACAATGGCCTGACAGTGCTGTTAGCACTATTTACTGCTAGTCACCCCGGCTGTAAATTGTGATGGTATACTTCCCTGTCTTGTTAAAACCTGATTACAACTTTTTCTGCCCTTAATGCCAAGGAGAAAAACAGAGACAGAACACAAGAAAAAGGTTTATTTATAATGAAGGAAATAAACTGGAGATTTTTTAGAAACAACTTTATACACCAAAATATGTTTGTATGTGTGTATCAGTGTTCCCTCTAAGCTGAGTTAGTATGAGCTAGCTCACAGTTTTTTCAGCCTCTGGCTCACACATTTTTGTCTTAGCTCAAGAAGGATGGCTCCAGAGCAAACTAATTTATGCAGTAGCCAAATCACGCTCTCACAACTTTAATGCCAGGAGCTCACAAAGTAGAATTTTTGCTCACAAGAATCCACAGCTTAGAGGGAGCATTGGTGTGTCTGTATGTAGACTGAAATGTGGAGAGTTAGCCAGCCACTGCCAAGTTCTCCACCTTTCAGACAGACCCTGTAGAGCCTTTCTACAATGCAGACCTCAGCTTGCCCCAATAGCGTTCTGATCACCCAGAAAGACTATATACGAGATCCATATACCAGTATGTGCTTAACAGGCCGCCACTACCCTAAACAGTCCACTTTCACCTCAAGTGACTGGAGGCAGAGCAAGATCTTTACCTTGATTAAAGCCCCTCTAAACCCTGTCTGGCTTAAACCTCTGCTAAATGGCTCTTTTTTCCGTCTGCTCCTCCCCCTTCCTCCAAGTGTTCCGATGGCCCTGATTGGTCATTTCTGGCTTTCTTTCCAGACCACCAGGGTACAATACTGATATTCACTCACAATTTCTCCACCAGAACTATTTTTTTCTGCACGTAATTGTGTTTCATGATGCTGCTAGCTATAATAAATTTTGCTTACTCATTTGTAAGCTGTCATATTGTTTCTATGAATTATTAATACTAATGAATATTTGAAATGGCTGAAATCTTTGGAGGCAACAGTTTAACATCTGATATAGGTAGAATGCTAAACACATTTTGATACAACTCAGGAGTTATGAATGAAGGATTTTCCACTGGCAAGTAGAACAAAATAGGATTGCATAACAAAAGTTTAAGATTCATACAGAACTGTGAATTAAAATGACAGCTAATGATGACATTATTTGGAAAAAAAAGTCTTAATAATAAGTGAAACTATTGTTTATAAAATGCACAAAATTGCGGTCTTGGTTTTTACACAAGCAGCATCAGAAATCCTATGCTATAAAGCTGAGTGTTCAAATAAGATGACCTGTGCTGAACTTTCAAGTACGGTTGTTGCTTTAGGAAGATGAATATTGTCCAGTTCTGAACTTCCCAGTGGATTCTGTGGCACAGACTGAAGTGGATCAGTTACACGGTATCTACCAGCCTGATAAAAACCATAGTAATCTATTCCACTGTCAGAGCTCTTTTGCATTTTAAGCTTCTGTCTAAACTGAATCATTTTGTAAATCAAAAAGAAGATAACAGCACAAGCCAAAATAAAAAGGGTTAATAAAATGTCAAAAGCCCGAGTCAGTTTTTCTACCTGCTGTGTACAGATTAGAGAGGATTTAAATGACACAGAAGCAGCTTCTGGGGGAAATGCTCCGCTCTCTTCCATAGTAAAATTAACAGGTATATTCTGTGCTGGTATCTCCACAGTTAACAATGAAAACACTGTAGTTGCCAGTCTGAACTTCCCAACAGAATGCTCTTCAGAAAGGTGTTGATTAGCAGATGTGGTAGGTATTTCTGTCCATAAACTCACTGTATCCGCATCCACATTCTTTAAATGTCTGTAAACAGAACTGCTTGAGGGGTTTTTATCCCATGCCATCAATAAAGTAGTGGTGCTGTGGTGAATACCTGCTGGTTTGATATCCTTGATTGTTTCAGGTGGTGTGGAACTGTTGAAACAGTTTGGAAACAAGTCCCATTTAGCAAAATTCAAATGTCTTCCACGCAAACTGGAAGGATACTGGCAATGAATATTGACAGAGACTGAAGAAGACACTAGCCAAGTAATTAGACCAAGTAACCTGCAGCTACAATTCCAAGGATTGTACTTTGCTTGTAAGTGAGTTAATGAAACCAAAGGCTTGAGAACTCCAGGCTGCATATCTGTAAGATTATTAAATGCTAGATTCAGCATCTTCAAAGATGCTCCAATTTTTGCAAATGCATTATCTGCAATATTGATTATTTTGTTTCTGTCAAGTTGCAGAAACATTAAATTATTCAACAATGCAAAAGTATCGGAATTGACATTTTCTATATTATTATTGCTCAAAACTAACTTTTTAAGATGAATTAACCCCCCAAATCCATTCACATCGATAAAGTTTATGTTGGCCCTTTTTAAAGAGAGATATTTGAGCTTGTCAAGTCCTCTAAATGCAAAGGGAGGGACTGATCCAATCGGGTTATGTGACAAGGAAAGTTTTTCAAGACTGCTCAGTGCTACAAAAGCATTTGGTGGCACGCGCGTTAAATTGTTACTTTCAAGGTACAAACATGTAAGGTTGTCAAGGTGACAAAATGCTGCATCTGATATCCGTGAAATCTGATTGTTGGCTAGGTTAAGAACCCGAAGACTAATCATTCCCAAGAAAGTACCACTACCAAGGATACTGAGGCGATTGCTTTGAAGCGTTAGGTATCGTACTGAAGTGAGATCACTAAACAATCCTCTTGGAACAAAAGCAATGTTATTATTTTGCAGGTATAAAGAACGAAGATTTGAAAGTCCTTCAAATGTTCCAGGATCCAAACGCTTAATCTGATTATTATTCAGATGTAGGTACCACAGGTTCTTAGATTTAGAAAATGCTTTTGGATACACATTTAAAATTCCAGAATTATCCAAGTGTAGCACAGCAAGATGCTGAAGCCCTATCAGTTCATTAGGATTTATGCAAGATATATTATTCCCACTTAGATATATGAATATAGTACTTTGGGGGAAATTCTTCGGAATAGATGAAAGACCTGCATTACGGCAGTTGGCTTGTCTGCCTGTACACTGCTGGCAAACAGATGGACAACAAAGTATTTCCTCCTGGATCAGCAACAAAAGAAGGCAGTTAAGAATATGTCGAAACGACCCAAGGTGGTGAAGTCGACACATATCCTGGACTGTGATTCTCCCAATCATCTCTGATTGTGCTATCAGAAAAAAAGTTAAAAACAGTTCATTCAAAATTCTCAGGTTTCATTTGTTTCAAAAGTAGGGAATCTTTTAATGTTATTTCTGCTATTTATGGACTATACAAACAAATTTATTTTATCACACCAACTACTTCAGATCTAATATCTAAAATTCAGTAACTCATAATGGTAAAATTACAGTATTTTCTAACATGGCTGAAAACTAGTTTAAGAGTTAAAATTGAAATCAAAACAGCAGCTTTCAGTAAGAGAAGCTATTTAACGACTTTCTAAATTGGTTCATCCTACTTAAACTCAAAAGGAAACAGTGCTGTTTATATTCAGCAACCTCCATTTCCTTCAATTAGTAGCTTCTTGTTCTTTTAATATTCATGACTGTTTGACAGTTTAAAATATATTAAAAATTGCTCTCACCTAGAATGCAGTGTTCATTCTATCAGGTAAAAATTGTAGTTTTGAAGCTCACTGGAATTGCTAGTGCAGTTCATTATTTTAAGAAATTTCTATACAACATTCCAGTTTCCCACTTTTTTGTCACAGGTTCTGCAACAGTTCCTACAGGAAACACTACTCTTCCCACTTGCTCTTCCACAATGACTGGTTAAAATAAAGTTACCATGGATACAGGAAACTGAGAGACAGGAAGTCATTTTATCTCCAGTTCTGAAGTACTGCTAGAAGGAAAATCTCTGCAATTTGTTCCTCTAAAGTTCAGTTAAATGCATTAGTCTTCCCATGGTACTGATACAATATGTATTCGATTTAAATTATTGTGCATAATAAAGAATGTACATGCTAAGCAGAATATAATATAATGGAAAGCCCGTGTGGTGCAGTGATTATGAGTGTTGGACTAGTATCTGGGAGACCCAGGTTCAAATCCCCACTTGTGGTATAGAAGCTCCCTTGGTGACCTTAGGCCAGTCCTACTCTCTCAGCCTAACATACCTCATAGGGTTGCTGTCAGGATAAAATGGAAGAGAGTGATGTAAACCACTTTGTGTTTCCATTGGAGAGAAAGGCAAGGTATAAATGTATTAAATAAATAAAAGGATATACATAATGGGTTATAACCCGTAAAAACAATTACACCCAGGAAAGGAAAAAAATATTCATTTATCTCAGCATTTAGAAATAATTATACCCCCCAATTTCTAACTTTTATTTAAATTAGTACCATGTATGAATGACAGAAAGATCAGTCTCAATAAAGCATTTTTCACCTATATTTCTCTGAAGTAAAAAACAAATGGAATAAAGAAAAACAAATTACTACTGAGAATGTTAATAAGTTAATGGTGAACTTGAAGAAAATTAAGCTAGAAAAGTATAGAGAACTTGAAAGAAAGATAATCTGGAAGTGGTACAGAACACCTGCACAACTGGCATATATGATAAAAGGGATGAAACCTAATTGCTGGCACTGTAACGCAAAAGAAGAGTGGTATTCTCACTTATGGTGGGAATGCCCAAAGGTGACAGATTTTTGGGAAAAGATACGGGGAAAAATAGCAGCACTATGTAAAGTCAACCTGGATATAGATGTAGATTTATTATTTATGGGTGTGTTGGGAAACCATAGAATTGAGAAACAAAATCAGGATATTTTCAAAGTAATGTTATTAGCAGCGCATGCAGTGATTGCATATGGTTGGAAGGAGAACTCAAAATGGACTTTAGAAAAATGGAACGAATATTTATATGAATATATACAATCGGACATATTGACAGGGGTATATTTGAAAAGTTGGAAAGAATGTGCTCGTGGTTAAAAATGTAATTTGAAAAACATGATGGTGGCCACCTTAGGGGGGGAGGGATAAAATAGGGGAAAAGAAGTATCAAAAATTTGGAACTAAACTGTAATGTAATAACAATATTGGGATACAATAAAAAAATTATATTAAAAAAATTTCTCTGAAGTATAAACAAGTGTCAGACAGAAGAACTTGAGTGATTGATGGAATAAAATGGGTAAAGGAAGGCATACTCAAAATTTGAAGAAAATGAGGAATTTCAGACAGGTGATATATTCCGGAAGAGGAACGGTTCCGAAACGGTTTCTGGTTTGTCATTTCAGACAGAACCGTTTGAGAACCGGTTCCCTTCCGGGATATATTTGTCATTTCATACACAATCGCTTCTGTCTCGTTTAGGAAACGGGGCTGAAGCGTTTTACCTGTCAACCACTTCCAAGTACTCCTCAGTTTCCTCTCCCGGTTCCAATGCACTTTTCCCCGCCGTTTTTCGCCCATGCGGGCGATCTCCGGCTTTTTTTTACGTTTGCTTTATAGTGTTATAGCGCTATAGCGCTATAACGGAATAGCATTATATCAATCCCATTGGAATGCATGGAGTGTTTTGTTATACTGCTATAGCGCTATAGCACTCTAAAGCGAACGTCCCCCCCAAAAAAAAGCCAGAGATCGCCCGCACGGGCGAAAAAATGGGAAAAAGCGGTGCGGTCTGAAATGGCAAACCGCTTCAGATCCAGCTCTTTACTGGAAGGGGAAAGCCATGTGTGAAATGGCAGCCCTATACCGGTTCACATCAAAACGGATCATTACTGGTTTGAAACCGGGTGAAACTGGGTAATGTGAAATTCCCCAACATTACTCCAGTTACGTAAGTGAGCAAGAAACAATTCCTTAGCAATGAACTGGGAGATTTTAACCCATTCATAAATTTCTAGTTTCATTTTTTTTAACTACGTAAGCAAATAAATATTATTGACTTTCTATAGACATAAAATCTTACTAATAACTAAAATACTTGCACAATTAAGTATTTGAAGCTCACTGACTTTGACAGACCTTAGCAGCAACAGTGTGATTTACCTTTTATTAGGATCAACAAAAATGTCACCAAGTACTAAACATGCTTCTAAGTTCCCCTAACCTCTTCCTTCGTGATAAAGAACCTGGATGCCCATAACTATCTGTGAATTGCAGTCTATACTGCACCTCTTACTAGAAGTGTTTTATTTTTATGGCCTTCAACACAATAAAATTAAGGCAATATTCTGAAGAAAGTCTTAGCTACAACTCAAGATTGAGGATCCAAAAACATATAACTTAACTTGGCACATAATCTTTGGATTTCTATTTCTTGGACTGAAACTGAAGAGAAACATACATGAAAATAATTTGTGACATGACTCCGTGAATCCCGACCAAGTTTCTCTCACCTGTTATCTGATGGCAGAAGGGAAAGCAATGCCAAAGCCGAAAGTTTTCTTCTTTCTGGCTGAGTTATATTATCCATGCGGTCAACCCACATTTCAATCACATGACCAAGGAGCAGGTCTGGCTGGAAAACATGACTGAATGTCACATTTGTAAACAACATAATCAGACTAGATAACTATTTCACAGTTTTGTGATGAGATAAAGTAAAACTTCTCAGATGGAAGTTCCTGTTACTATGCCAAATTCTACGGAACATTCTAACTTCACAACATATATGGATGGGCATATAAACACATGTATAAAGATACAGAATCATAAAGGATATATATGTATGCATATTCAGAATTCTATTACTGTGTGTGTCATGGCATTCTAATATATCTAATAGTTCTACCATGTATAGAACTTTATTCTAATACATCTTTAGAGACTCAGCTCAATGCTACTAGAAAAGGGGATTTGCAACATAAGATCGGATCCAAACCTCCTCCTCCTTTGAGCAGGATACTTTCCCTCTTTCTATAGATTCCTCCTTCTATACTATATGCAGTTTCAGAGGAAATCCAAATGTTCAAGGGTGGATTTTCAGTGGGATCAGAGGATTAAGTAAGAAGGGAGAGGAAGATATTTTGCAAGCAGAGCTTGTATTTTATTGGATCCAACTCACAGACTTTATGACATATGCATTTTCAGAAATTCAGATTATTATTGTTAGTTCCATATATTTATTAAACACGAAGCTACTAAAAGTCCCTCCTGTCAAGTGAATCACTGTTCTTTGATTTATACTGGAATTATTATGCAGTACCAAGCCTTTATCTTTAAGAGCACCCCTTGGTTTCCCTGGATTTATTTATTTATTTATTTATTTGTGTGTGTGTGTGTGTGTGTGTGTGTGTGTGAAGTGCTGTCAAGTCGCTTTTGATCAATGGTGACCCTATGAATTAATGTACACCAAAACATCCTATCGTGAACAGCCATTCTCAGGTCTTGCACACTGAGGGCCGTGGCTTCCTTGATGGAATCAACCCATCTCATGTTGGGGTCTTCCTCTTTTCCTGCTGCTTCTCATAATATGAACAAAGTACGATAGCCTTAATTTAGACATTTTAGTTTCTAGGGAGAGTTCAGGCTAGATACAAACATTGGAAAAAATTAACAACCCAGCTATTATTCAGCATCTGAGCAACACATAGAAAACATTTTCTTCAGCAAAAATTTTTTTAAGAAGAGATTGGATTTATACCCCGCCCTTCACTACACAAAGGTGCCTCAGAGCAGCTTACAAACTCCTTTCCCTTCCCCTCCCCACAACAGACACCCTGTGAGGTAGGTGGGGCTGAGAGAGCTCTTGACAGAAACTGCTCTTTTTCAAGGACAGCTCTTATCAGAACTATGACTTGCCCAAGGTCATCCAGCCAGGTGCAAGTGGAGGAGTGGGGAATCAAACCCGGTTCTCCCAGATTAGAGTCTGCGCACTTAACCACTACACCAAACTGGCTCCCCCTTCCACCAAGTTAAATATATTAAAGTCAGCTGGGAGACAGAAGAATTTTGCTAGAACTGAGAGATCTGCAAAAAACAGCACATACTGATGTAAAGACAAATGTCTGCTTATTTACTGCTGGACAAGATAAACAAAACATATTATCTTACTGACTGCATGTGATTTTTTTTAAACCAAAGTTTCTGTGGAATAAGTAGTAACCTAGAGATAGATTCTGCTTGATGTTGCTTATGTATGCAGGGGCTTCTCAGTTTCCCGTCGGTGCACAGCAGCTTATGTCCCTGAAAAGCTTTTCCCTTTCTAAGCTAGGGATTCTCTGGAACAAGGCAGGGGTAAGAAACAGCCACTGGGGGGGGGAACCCCAAGCTGAATATTCCTCTGTATGTACACAGGGTCTCTCTGAATCCTAGCCAATACACTGAGCAAAGCTGCTTAAATGAGAAGTAGTATGACTTTTTTGTTGTTGTTCAGTCGCACATGACTATTTGCCCTTTAAAGATTAAAACTGGTACCAATAAGAAGCACAACATTTTCATTTCTGTGGACTAAAGACATTTAACTTCAAAGCCGCATGAGCTATGTATGTATTTAGAACACCTCATTTTCTCCAGGACAGAAGGTGCCATAAAGTTATAATGAGCTAGCACCATCTTGTACATAACTGTTACAAAGACTGAGATAAAATGGGGTGAGGGGGAAGAGATACATCCCAGGAAACAAGATAATTTTATTTATTTATTTAATTTATAATTTAAATGTATAGACCATCCTTCCCTGAATGCACAGGGCTCAGGGCAGTGAACAACAGTAAAAATATTCATAAATTAATAAAACAATTCCAACAGTTCAAATAAAATATAAAACATTTTCAGATGATGCTAAAACATCAAAGTTTCAAATCATATCACTATCTCACGGAGGAGGTAGAGAGGAAGCAGTGGGGGAAGGGATTGCCAGATAGGATGGTACCCGTCACTGTCCTCAACCAAAGCCTGGCAGAACATCTCTGCCTTGCAAGCCCTGAGGAACTGCATTAGGTCTCGCAGGGAGCATATGTTATTCAGCAGATAATTTGAACAGAAACTACAAATGTAAACCTGAGCTGTAATACAGCTAATTAACCAGCACTTCTAGTTTCCAAACAAAGTACAGACAAAATATTCTGCTCACATAAGCAGTACCATTAGCACAAGAAAATTTTTGTTTTTGCATACTGTGTGCTGAGAGTACGAAGCATAAATATTTAAAATAAACAAAAGGCACTATAAATCCAAATAACTAAATATGAAATCTTACCTCTTGCCCAAACTCACATGCTACCTGGTTCAGAAGCAATGAGAAAAAACTTTTATTTTGCAGCAGGACTCTACCGATGATTCCCAGGTAAGTCGACATTACAACTGGGTGCCTCTGAAAATGAAAGCAATTCAACTGAGCTCCCCTATCAGGTGGAAAATATAAGCATGATAAAAGAATACGACAATGAGCATGATTCTCTACATGCAAGAAAATAAGAAATTTAATAGCACTTATTATAGATACACAAGCATTAGTATTGGTTACAGTCAAATTAATTCCTATTTTAAACAAATAGTACATCAATTTTCAGCTAACCAGCTTGCAGCTATAGGAGTTGTTCAGAATAATTCCAGGGTGCAATGTAAAGGAATGTAAAGTGAATGTAAAAATATATACTATGTCCTGTGAGACTAAGCAGATGGTAAGTTCCATTCTACTTGGCAGGGAAATTCCATCCCCCTCCCCCACGATAGCATATGAAAGCTCAGAGAGTATTGGAAATCTGGGATTGCACCACTGCACCATCAAAGCACTCCAATTGCCATGATGGGATGTGGCTGTTCCACAGTTATCCACAATATACAAAATACAATCAGACTTAAACTTACAGACTATCCAAGGACAGCTTAACACAGCTGAGCAAAGTCCTAAAGGTACCTAACCGTTTTGCCTACATATTGTGCCAAAGCTCTCCTTATGTGTTCAGAGATCTATGAATGGGGGGGAAAAATCAGATAAGAGATTACCATTAGTTTTGGATCTATATACACTATAAAGAATGGCTGACAAAACTCAGCACAAACATCTGAAGCTTCCGGTTGTTATTCAATATACTACTTCATCAGCTTTCATGGAAACATGTTGAAAGGTAAATCATAATCGTTAGCAAGTTTGTGCCTCAGAGTACATGATTTTGAAAAGTGCATTCAGAATCTTCAAACTACATGCAAAAGCAAGTACTCGATTAACTCCCAGAGTACAATATTTATACAACAGCACCACTGGCTGGGAGAAGACAAAATCATAAGCTAAGAAAAACGAATAGGTTTGCATAAGGAAATAACTTCCATCACTGATACGTTTGAGTAAAGAACAGTTACCGCCTGAATGTGTATTATTTTTGGAGATCTAGATGATCTAATAGAAAGCTTCAGCACAGCTATTCCTATCTAATTTACCAGACCTTTTGTTACTTTTTTAAAAAGTGCTATTAATCCGTCACCAAGCGGGTCATTGCTGCTATTCTCAGTGGTAACACTCTTCAGTGCAAAGATGTTATGGAACAGTATAGTGAAGTGTCACAACAGGGTGAAAAAAATGATGGATCCATGTGTTAAATTATGTTATTTTAACACTTCCCATTATCAGCTACTGGCTATTTACAGACTTCAGAAGGAGAAAAGCTAAAAACAAACAAAAGAGGCTATCAAATAACCAGAAAGACAAGAACAAAAGCCTTTTAACAATCTAAAACAAGAAAAGGATGGTACTGCTCCATTTCAAAACCTAGGTGGACAATGAAATAAATGTATTACATTATTTGACATGAAATTTCAGATGAAAAATCCAGTGAATTTTCTGTAAAGACATCATCTTGGTTCTATTTACAGACATACAGAATGGTAATTGTGATTTACTGTTTTCATACTTCAGCTGGGGGGTGAGAGAGGAAGATGAGAAAGTTATTTGTCATTCTCCACAAAGTTCTTCCCTTAGCATTCCAGAAAGGGCTAAAATCTCTACAGACTCCAAGGCAATCATTCCCAAGGTGACATGCTTCACAAAAGAAGATGAATGCCTTCCCAGCAAGCATGAGAGAATATATATTTTACAGTATAGTATGTATGTGTAAGTTGGGATCCAGAGAACATACTTTCTATCAATGAGGACTCAGACCACCCCACCTCCCCACCCCCGAAAGAGGAAAATGTAACTTCAACATGAAGATTACTTGGTTAAATTCAGCAGCAGCTTCCGGCATCTTGCCCAAGGACAAAAAGTATTCTTTTTTTTAAAGAAGAAAATGTAAGAGATTTCGAAATTGATATTAGGAGGAATGATGAAGATGCAGGATACTGAGAATTCAAGAAATATAGATAACTGCCTGCCTGGGCAAGAAACAATCTTAGGCGGACTCGCACAATAACACCTCCTTGCTATTGGACAAGGCAATGCTCTTTCTGCATAAGAGAGAGTACAAACAGTACAAAGCAATACTGCATAATGCTTTTCTGTGTGACTCTTGAGACCATAAATAAGGAAACTTATCAGGAGGAGTGCCACGATACTACTGTGGTCATCTTTCCTGGGCTTAAAGGGTTGTGAGAGATAACCAATAGCATCATGATGCTATTTTTCTGCCAGATAAAGGGAGGGGGATCACATGGATCATGGGTGGGGGAAAGGACAGTAGAACATTAGGGTGGACTTCGAATAACCATTTTAAAAGGTTGGCTGGGGGGGGGATGTGAAATGGTATGGTATAACCCACTTATGTTAGATCTCAAAAGCCAAGCAGGATTGGTGCTTAGATGGGAGACCACCAAGGAAAATTCTGCAGAGGAAGGCAACAGCATACAGCCTCTGCTTCTCACTTGCCTTGAAAGCCCCTTGATTGGGGTCGCCATAAATTGGCTGCGAATTGACGACATATACATATATAAGGATGGCTGAGAGTTTATCAGCCAATGTGTCAACTTCCAGTTCAAAAATGGTAAGAAGGACATGGCAACTGCAGTAACACAAAGAGAAAAAAGCAACAGAGCAACAGAATGAAGAACAAACTATGACATCCCTCTTATGTTCTGTTTACTTCCCGCAAGGGTGTCCATGAGCATGCACAAAGTAAAAACATGCAGACAAGTGGGGCAAGCCTGCCTTTTGGTTCCCTGTGAAAATGGGAATTTACATCAAGTCAACATTTCTCTCTATAAGTGACTGGAGCCAGTTTTAAATTTCTAAAGTATACAAAAGCAGAGTCATTCCTGAGGGACTCCATTCATTTTACAGCTGTATATAAGGACCTTCTCATGCCATGTGCTGCACTGGCAGATGAGGGAAGGTTCCCCTAATATTGGCTACAGAACGTGCATGCAGATTGCACCTGTATCTTCAGATGTCTCCTGCACAGAACTGACCCCCGAAAGCTGTTGAAATCACTGACTGCAGTAACACTCAAAGTGGGACCTTATCTAATGCCCTTTCCACCTCTGTGAAATTGATTCCCAAGATTGTAGGACCTGTGAGGACTAACAGTCATATGATGGGCGGCAAGAAGGAGAGAGTTTGACTCTTCCCCCCTCCACAATGCAGCCTCTTGACCTACATGGCTATTAGTCTAACCTTCCCATAGTTGATTCTGTTATAAGCAACAGCATATCAAGGGTGAGGCAGGGGGTGTGGTCTGCTCCAGGTGCAGCTTGAGGAAGGCACTTGAAGGGAGGCCCTTGAAGCCAGTGTCATGCTGCATACAGCCAAACGTCATTCCTTTTTTTTTTTTTTAATGCAGCTCTGGCTGCCACCCCTAGGGGCACAGAGAAGTCTGAGCATAGCAAAAAAGCTCTCTAAGATTGGCTAGACTTCCCATTCTCCAAGACTGAAGCAAACTTGCTTAACAGATTGTACAACCAAGCCGGCATGCTGATAACTGCTACAGTAACTGGCAGCCTGCAGGTCATTTTCTCCAATAGACTAGCCTTTCTCTCTTCCTTTCCTTGCACTCAGCTCAGCCAGATCTTGCAAGAAAGAGATTGGATTTATATACCCCCTTCACTTGGAGTCTCAGGGTGGCTTACAAACTCCTTTCCCTTCCCCTCCCCACAACAGAAGCCCCGTGAGGTAGGTGGGACAGAGAGACCTCTTTTGAGAACTGCTCTTTCAAGAACAGCTCTAACACAACTATGGCTTGCCCAAGGTCATCCAGCAGCTGCATGTGGAGGAGTGGGGAATCAAACCTGGTTGTCCCAGATCAGAGTCTGCACACTTAACCACTACACCAAACTGGCTCTGGAAAAGCAGTAGTTAGGGTGCTGAAGCAAGATAAAACAACCTTTCCCTCCCTTAATTTCTCTACCTTGTTTGCACATTTTTCTCATTCATTTCTGTCTCCCTTCACCTAAATTTACTGTGTCCCCTTCACGTCTTGGACTCCAGACCTTCTCATCCCTATCCTGCTTGGTCACAGAATATATTTAAGAGTAGTAGAGTAGCAAACCTTTGTTAATATTATGCACAGAAGACACTGGGTTTGCTGGGCACTGTACACAGCACTGGGTTTGCTGGGCTTCCAATCCCCCCTTGCTTGGACTGTGATTCTGTGCTTGACATCAGCTGGCATTGCCACAGTGGCACTGGGTTTTCTGGCCAACGTACACTGCACTGGTTCTGCTGGGCTTCCAACACCCCCCCCCCCAGACTGTGATTCTGAGCTTGACATCAGTCTTGTTAAGCTGGCATTGCCACAATGGCATTGGGTTCTGCTAGGCATTCTATGATTTCACTGGTACTGCTGGGTACTCTGTACATTGCACTGGTTTTGCTGGGCTTGCAAATATCCCCCCCACCATCAGTTTCTACTGCAGAGATTCTATGGTTTGACTCTCAAAATCTTATTCCCTGAAACTCTTTTTGGTCTCTAATGTGCATTTATTTCATGATTATTACTGAAAATAATTTTGTTGTATAGAGGAAGGGAGTGCTGAAAAATGATCCACTCAGGGTGTTGAACATGCTAGGTACGACACTGCCCGAAAGGGTCACCATTTGTCAGCTGTGACTTGACAGCAAAAAAATAAATAAATTAGAGGAGAGGTGTTAAAACAATTATCCATCCCAGATGTCAAATAGGCTAGGTATGCCACTGGTTATAAGGGTAAGTGGAATACCCTGCATACTCCTCTTCTCCAGATAGTTCACTTTTAATATCTTAAGTTGGGGCTATAATGATCAAGGACATGCAACCAGTCATGATTAGGTAAAGGCAGAATGGCAGGAATTAACAAGGTCACAGCCCATTATACGATAGGCCAAGTACAAGGTGAACAAGGCAAAAACTGGGAATTTCAATATTCCATTTTTCTTCTTCTGCCCATTCTTCTAAAAAGAACATCAAGATAGAACTAGTCACTTGTGGAACTTAGCTAGTCCACTTTGATTTTTTTCTTAGTTTTTTACAACACTTATGCTGTTCGGATACCTATTCCTGTGCTTTTGTGCTTAATGAACATGTATGTTAGTTGAAGGAGCTGCGGTGGCTCAGGTGGTTAAGACGCTGAACTGCAAGCTGTGGAAGGTCGGTAGTTCAGCAGTTCGAGACCCGAGTGTGCCGCATGACGGAGTGAGCTCCCGTCTCTAGTTTCCGCTCCTGCCAACCTAGCAGTTCGAAAGCAAGAAATTGCAAGTAGATAAATAGGTATCACTTCGGTGGGAAGGTAACACCGTTCCGTGCGCCTCGGTGTTTAGTCATGCCGGCCACATGACCCCGGAAACGTAATCAGACAGCGCTGGCTCTTCGGCTTTGAAACGGCGATGAGCACCGCAACCCTAGAGTCGGATTCGACTGGCTTTCGAGCAAGGGAAACCTTTACCTTTACGTTAGTTGAAGAAAGATATTTTTCCTCTTTAAAGATCTAACATGTGATCAGAGTTATTACTCAAATGCCTAACCATTTATTCATACATAGACCAATCACCTGACTGGCTTACAGAGTTAGCAGGCTGGAGAGAGAGAAAGGAGTAGCCCCTGTGACGTGAAAGACCTCCATCTCAGACCCTGGAGAGCCACATTGCCAATCTAAGTAGACAATATTGACCTTAATGGACTAATGGTCTGACTCAAACCATTCAGAGGAAGGTTCAACAGCAGATATATTTGACTGGTGGCAGAAACCTACCCAAATGATACAAAGATTTCACTACAAATGGAGTAAAGCCTTCCTACATACACAGTGATTCTCATTGCCTCTTGGGCTCATGCAGACAAATAGTGGGCAGGGTGGTGATGAATTAGGACAGGAACAGTGGGGACCAGAAGAATCCCTGATCCTTGCACTTACAGATCATGGGATCCAACCCCAAATGAAGACTGTGCTACTTATGTCCAGTATAAAGGATATAAAATCTATAAAAATGTCAGGAACATTTTGTTGCTGTCCAGGGTAGCACAGCAACTCAAGTATTGAGTTAGAAATTGACACTTAAAGATCAGAGTGAGAAAAACCTTTTTCTTACCATAACTTATCTCACAATATTATACTCACAATTAAATTAGAAGAACTGTAATGGTAAGTACTACAGAAAACATACAATAATGTTACTAATTATGTTTAATGTGCATTCTGTTCTTTATTCAACTCTGGAAGGGTCATTTGTACTAGTGTGACCTCAATATGTAGAACACTTAAATTACATCACAGCCTGTCCTAAGCACCAAAACTCAATCTGTGGTACTGAGTGAAAAGGATGTTGGCAAATGATTACATATAATAGAAGGCAAATGGGTGTATGTAATGTTTACCAGAAATATATTTGATGACATCCTAATGTTCTGTATTTGATTTTTAAAAAAAAGAATGCAGTTAAAAATATGCGACAAAGAAATATAATAAAGTTAAGGAACTCTTACCTCTCCACTTATAATTCCCCGAAAAACAGATGGCAGGAGAGGCTGAAATAGGTCAGGGCCCAATAATGGATTCACTTTGAGAACATTTTCTACAACCTGAAAATGAGACAGATCTTGTCTGAAAAGCACTTATGATAACTGCTTTATGGACTTAGCCACCAGCAGTACATACACCCTTGCATGTACACATGTTCACGTTTCCCTATGAGTGAGTTTAGAAAGCTACACTGTGTTCGTGCATGTGTACTGTACTGTACTGTACTGTAACTATCAAAGAAATGAAGACCAAAGCACTTCAGCAGATGTCGTGATTTCCAAACCAAGAACACAATTTAACTACCATCCAATTTATTCTTTACAGTTCCATAAGTCTATAAAAATCAAGCAAGCCTGCTGCTTTTTTTCATTTATAAAGACACTTTCACACACACACACACGGCGAACTTAGTCAACTACTACCTTGCCACCTCCTCAGTATAATTCTGTTTGATTTGCATGACAGGCTTCCTTGAAGGAATTATTAGTCTTTTTCCCTGCTGTGTTTTATATGCAGACTGCATGCAAATCTAACCCTTCTGGTCCAAAAAAGCAGTGCTACAGCACTGCAGTGTGCACAAAGACAAACTACATTGGATTTTTAGTACTTTGGGATGTGTCTTAATATACATTCAAAAGCTATGTCACAGGGGCATCTGATGCACTTGTGTCCTAATGGTTATGGATCGTTTTGTATTGACGGCTCAGAGGCAGACAGGTTACCTTGTACAATGAAGGCCGCCACTTGCAAATTCTATTGTGATTTGTAAAATCTTGTTATAATGAATTAGGGAAGCTGCTAAATAAAACAATACCTCTCTACAAGAGCATGAATTTCCTTCAGCTCTAAACGAGACTGTGATCCACCCCTTACTAAAGAAGTCAGTCGAGGATAATGCTGAGATCTAACAAAAAGCAGCTTCTGACAACTCCTATTTGCTGCTGTGGCAGAACTGCAATGGCAAGGAACACTTTTCTCTCTTTTTAGAGTTTAGTTTTTGGAACTCCAAACAGCAGTGAGGAAGACAGCTTCTCCACTGTCCAGAGAGTTTCTAAATTTTTCTTTTTATTTATGCATGCATAATCTGCAGGGAGTGAGGAGATATTTTTAATAAAGTGTTTTTAGTGTGAGGTTTTAAAAACAGGGCTAGATTAGTTTTATAGATTATTTGATATGATTGTTCAGTATGTTTCAGAATTTTGCATGTAAATCCTCTAAAAGGATAATTAGAGCAGTTAAAGTGGACAGGAAATCTGTGAATGCATTCTCTACTTGAAATCGGGGGCAGGATCTAACGTTAACTACGGAAAAAGGAAAAACCATGGGAAGTGACTATTGAGGAGACTTTGTAGAAAACCAGAATACCATCTCTTTCCAACATGGAAGGGCTGTTCTATTGTTGGGCGGGTTGGTAGGATTTCTTCTGATTTCCTCTCTCATTGCAGATTCCCATTTTGCCCCATACCCTTGTTTATGAGTGTTTGGTGACACCCAGGAACAGAAATGTGGGAGGGGGACTCAGAGGGCTGCAGCAGGAGGAAGGAAAGCCCCACCCCACAATCTCCACTCCACTTGCAGATTTCATAAAATATAAGCTATTGTATCCATTAAATGATGAGATGGAATTAAGGCATTTTGAGATGTGCTTGAGAAGGACCAGCAACTGTTATTTCAGTGCCGCTAATAGAGATGTTCATTGCCACAAAGTGAGAGAAAATGGGACAGACTGGAGTGAATGATACATTCTGATTGAAGCTACAATAAAATACAAACAAGAAATTATGCTTTGCTTCAAGTTTCACAGTGAATAATACAAAAACAGACTTATATCTTCATTTTTCCACAGACAAAAAATGCCATAAATATAATGACTGTTGTCACTGCTTTTTGAAAGAATTAGTTGCTTGCAGACTTTAACCTGAATAATTCCATTCCATTCCATTTATTATTAATAATGTAGTCACAATAAAGCCTTAATAAGGATCATGGTAAGACACCATAATAAAACTATCAGTTTTGCGAACCATGCTTTCTTCATTCCAACATCTACATTAATGTGTTTTTCTTATGGTTTTCTAGAGAACACACATACTAAGAGGTGTGCAAGTTTAGATTACACAGCAGCAAAAAACAGCTTTTAGCAATAGCTGTTTTGTCTCATGTAGGCTGAAGTGGCAACTGTTTCTAGGATACAATCAGTATATTTACATATTTTGTGAAAAGAATTCTGTATTTATAGTTAGGTAGCATCTGTAGAGTTGTCTGGATCAAACACTTCTGCTTACAATACATATATGGAATCTGTATTTCTATAAAATTTGGTACCCTGATAAGCAAAACTCATTATCACAATGAATATCCATAAACTAGCCACATACCCAATATTATTCCCTGCTTCTATAATTCTCTTCCCTTGTTATCTTCAGCTACCTGCTGTCCCTTCCTTGCAAGCAAGTTTTCATTATCAATTCATTTAATTTCTAACTTTGTCTATGATGCCACATGACCCCCATTCCATTCCATTTTATTCAATTCCATTCTTTCCTCTCACCCTTAGTGCCAGCGCACATCAAAAGCCAGTTTTCCCTTGCTCTAGTTTTTCAGATTGTTTGTAGTTGTATTATTGAATACTATCTTCCCTAAGTAGCCCCCATATGGCATTTAGAAAGACAGAGAGAGGCACACAATTGTATGCTTAATACAGAACACTCTATCTGAAAGACATTCAATAGAGTGGAAGCCTGACCTGTATATTTCTTTTCAGCAAACTCACCCATATGAAATTGCCTGGCAGTTGAGAAGTTCTTTAAGGTCCCTACTCTGTGCACCCTTACTTTCAGAAGTGAGGGTGCGTAGCTGTCAGAAGCAGGGCTCTGGAACTTCCATCTCACATTTATTTGTCATCTAGACTGTTTTTCAGGCAACAACAGAAGATGTTTTTCTCTTCCCAAGACTTTACTGATAGCTGTGTATCATTCACCCTGGTTATACGCTGTGGCACTGGTTTCTGTTATTTCTCTTTCTGCTTTTATTATTAGGGGCATTAAAATATGGGCTTTTATATGGCTATTACTGCTTGCTGTGATTGGGCTTTTTAATGCTAATTTTATTGGAATTTTTAGCTGCCAATTTTATTTTGAGATTTTATTAAAAAAATCCATGTATTGTTTTTACTGTTGAAAGTCTCTGTGTGACCCCCCCCCCCAAAAAAAATATTAGGAATATAGGATGGAAAGTCCTTAAATAAAGAAAGCCAATCCTAACCCTCCTAAGAACACCATAACCCACGACAATGAACATAATTAAAATCTAACTCTTACAAACAAAATCAGGGTTTTTTTGGATGCAAAGCAGAAACAGCATTAGCCATCTATAAACACACAATACCTTCAGTACTTGAACTTGACCCTCAGTTGTTATGTCTTTTAAGATCTCGCAAAATGATTTGCAGAGTTCCGCTGCATTGACCTAAAGTTAAAATCAGGCCAGATCAAAACACACAAAATGCATATTTTTGAAATCAACTCTGTTTACACTTTAGTTATTACTGGAGTACAAGTAATTAATAACGGCCAGGGTTAACAAGTCTAACATTTAAATTAATACTTAAACACAACTCAGTCAATGGAAACGCATGCCATACTTGTCTTAATCAGCTGCACATAGCTCTTTTCAATTTTAATGGAACATCAAACTTTGTTTTATGAACAGTCCCTGATTTCTTTTGTATAGCACAGCAGGAACCTGTCTTTTCTCTGCCTTTTCCAGTGTGCCATTTGCTTTAGTATAGGGCACAATAGGAATGTTAGATTTATAGAATTGATATAAAATCTATTTTAACAGCAACATTGTACAAATATTGTTTACAAACTGCTGTTCTCTAGGAGTGATCTAAATATAGTCAGGGGTCATTGGATGTATAGAACAAGACATGAACCCTCTTGAAGAAATTGTACCCTACAGCTATAGCACTTACATTTAAATTTCTTTAAATCTGATTCTGTTAGTGCTATAAGAAAATGTCTTATTTTCTCCTTCTTATATTGGCCTGTCTGTGCCCAAAATGTCTGTGCTAAGGATTAACTACTTCTGTGCAACTGGGCTAAAATACTTGGACAGAGTGGCAGGATTACTGTTCTTTCCCCTTCTCCCTTCCATGACATCTTTTAAAGAGAAAATTGATTATTTTTCCTCACTTTTTCATGAAGCAAACATTAGGTGGGGAGACAAAATCAAATAATCACTGAGAAAGCAGATGATGTTTAAAGCAATTTTCAAGATCCTATATAAGAAAAGCAAATAAAGGTATCTAATACAGTTATGATCTGAAGTTAACAGCAGCAACCATTCTCACTATTCTAGGTGAGCAGCTATGCTAAATTTATACATAATAGTGGTACTATCACTTTCCACTATTCAAATATTCAGTAAGAAACCATTTTGATACAATGAACAGTGCCACGTTTGGGAAGACTGCCTCTGAAATGCAGATTTACTTACTTTCGATCCCATAGTCTCAGGCACACAATACATTTTTAATGTATGTGTATTTTTAAAGAATGTATTATTTTTCTATTTTTTTACAATGTATTATAATAAATGCTAACAGCACTGCAGTTAAACTCACTAAATAGATAGTTTGTATACAATATGACATGAGGGTAGTTATAGATACACAACATAACTATCTTAACCCTGGAATGGGCAAGAAATACAGTGGTTGGGGAAGTGTTTGTAGCTAGTTCCCCCGGCTGAGGGGGGTGTTTTTTTGGGGGGGGGGGGGTGTCCAGAGATCAAGTGATGATCAATATCTCATTAAAGAGTAGCAGAAAGCAGTACCAGCTGCCTTAGAACAAGCTGTGATTGGCAATCTCTGACCCAATCACTATTAAAGGGTATATATATGAAAGTAATTCTCAGCCAGTGACAGCTAAATATGACTAGCGTTAGCAGATGCATACTGGGCTAATGTTAACGCCCTCAGGCATGCGATTTCACACCACATCATAATCACACACTCTCAGAATGCCCAATTCCCAGTCATCTCGCTTTGAAGGCTGTCTCAAGGAGCAGGGCTCAGGCGTCCACCCTGCCTTAATAAAGAGTCAGCTGGCGCAAGAAGTGCTTACAAGGTTTCACAGAATGTATCATAATGAACCTAACACGTACCTGAAGAAATTCTGAAGGAGATAAAAAGATATAGCCATTGATGATCTTAAAGCAGGTTCTGAGGTTTTCTGAACTTAACTCTATGAAAATAAATATCAGATAATTTCAAGGGCTTTGCCACAATTTAAAACAGTCTTAATAAGCATGACAGTATTTTGCATATCATTTTTACATATAGGGGTGTTTTTGTCTTATAACTGTTCTAGAATTAGGGTTGCCAGCCTCCAGGTGGGGCCTGGGGATCTCCCGCTTTTACCACTGATCCCCAGCCAACAGAGATCAGCTCCCCTGGAGAAAATGGCTGCTTTGAAGGGTGGACTCTATGGCATTGTACTATGCGGAGGCCCCTCCCCTCCCCAAACCACACCCTCTCCTGGCTCCACCCCCAAAGTCTTCAGGTATTTTCCAACCCAGACTTGGCAACCCTATCTAGAATCCCTTACTCATGCATGATTTCTGGTCATACAATTTTTTTCCCCTACAGACCTGGGTGCTTATACTCTGAACACCCGAGTGTCCCAAAATGTATCAGAAATCTCAAATAGTATGTGTACACACACCTGCTCTAGTACCAAGGCTCTGAGGTACCAGATATAAGTGTGTGTAAATACTTCATTCACAGTATAAATTATAAAAGAAAGGCCAGTTCAGGAGGTTGAAAACAAGACTGTTTCCTGTTAGCGCTCTTATTAACATAGCCCAATATCCATATGCTAAATTTATCTCCTGGGTACTCTCTTAATTTTTTGAGTACTAATATACAACCATAATTCAGAAACAGTATCACTGCAAAATTGCTCCTTTCATCAGCCACCATTAGAAAGTAGGTTTCACTACTGTTCCTGTTCCTCTGTGTGCGTTGTGTGTGTCAATCTCAACACAACAGCCCCATACAGCCCAACCTAGCAGCAGGAGGCTGTTGAGCTCAGGTCTTTCCTGGTGATTGTGAGCTACTGATCCAAGTGACCCAATTAACATACTATTATAGGGCAGACAAGTTCATCTAGATAAGAGAGTTAATTTGCATATGTAATTATAAGCACCTAACTTCAGTCTTTAGAACAGACTGCTTGTTGAAATCAGGGCCACAGAACTGCTTTTATGGACATTCCCTCCAATACAAGACTGATGATACTAGAAATAGTCTTAAAATGACCTTTGTCACACAGCCAAATAGAACTTTAAAAGACATTTCAACCAGGTAGGCATGCTTACTGGAGACCATTCTACCTACTTATTCCTCTACAAATCTCACTGATAACCTAAAGAAAGTGGTTGACTGGAACTGTAAAGGTGACAGATACAGCTAGTACGACTCCAAAACTAGGACTCTGTACATTCAACAGTTCTATGGAAGGGGAGGTTTTGATGCTGGGGCAACATCTGGCATGCTGAGAACATGATTGCTTTTCTTTCCTTTCTGTTTTTTTTTTAAGTAGTTTCCAGCACCAGAGGGGAAGGGTCTGTCAGTTAAATCATACAATCATACAAAATCAGCAATATCTATGGATATCTGCTTATAAAACTGTTTATAGAGAATTCCACTAATCTTAACGCAAAATGTAGCTTTCTTTTAAAGCACAGAATGTGCTGAGTTTTCACAGATCCACAGTGTAAAGTATACAACCCTGGAATACACTGAGCAGACAAAGCAATAAATCACCCACCGCTATAGCTAATTCACACTTGAATCCGCTCTTTTGCTTGGAGGAAAGAATGAAAGTATTCCATATCTATATGTTTACTCAGGACCTTTGTAAGATAAAGGGGCCTTGGGGTTGAATGTACATTCAAGGTCCCTCCTTCCTTTTTACTGCAACCTATGTCCATATAATTTTTTCCCTCATTTGGAAAAAATATGCTTATGATCTTTCCAAAACCATCTATTTGACATCAGAATTTATTATGGCAGTATGTTAAGTATTTATATGTCAAAAATTGAAAGACCAAAGACAAACAGACAAACACCCTATTGGATTTACTTGCAATTAGAGATGTAAAATTTCCGGAAATTTTGAAGCTCGGGAAAAAAACCCGTTTTTTTTCCGGAAAAAAAATGGAAATTTTCAGAAAAATTGAAAAAATGCTACATTAGCATTTCTTTTGTCTTTTCTTTTACTTTAGGACTATAAAATATGACTATGGACATTTTTACTTGGCATGAAATTATCACAACTAGCATATTAAAAATATAGCGTATCCAAACAATTATTTCAAACAGAATACCCACCCACATGCAAAAACAAAACTGAAACTTTTTTATTTTCTTCTGACAATCGCACCTCCTAAAGGAAGAAATGCATCTTGTTCTTGCATTGGAGGGTTCAGTTTGTAACCCAGGACTTGCTTGTCCTCAGTGCACAGAAATTAGATCAATCTGATACCATATATATATATATATATATATATATACATACACACACACATACATATACATACATATACATATATATATATACACACACACACACACATACATATACATACATATACATATACATATATATATATATGAAATGATTTGGAAAATATTTGAACACCTTGTCTTAAAATATTTTATTCATCATGTTAAAATAAAACGTTCCATAATCATTTTTTTTTCTTTTTTCAATTTTTCCAATTTTTCGGAAAAAAACAAAAAGGCTTCAAGAAAAAAACGGGGGGGGGGGGAACGGTTTCCCCCCGAATTTTCCCGGTTTTTTTCCGGGCCTTCACATCTCTACTTGCAATATACTTCCAAAAAACCCAGCATTGGTTCAGTGGGTTTTGAACATCAAATTACTAGGAATCAGGGGGGGGGGGGAAGCTAGCAACACTGCCCTTCAGGAACTTGAACTAAGTCAATAATTAATCTTTTCTACTATTGGTTGGGGGCAATGGCCCCACCATTCAACTGCCAACTACGATAGATGCCAAGTTATTGATCTGCCGTGTGTGTGTGTCTGTGGAAGAGAACAAAAGGAATGGAGTTAAGGGGCTACATTTTGATTAAATGTGCAAGGCCAAACATGACAATAAAGAGTGCAACCTTCCACTGAAGTCAGTGGCCTAGTAAATGGAACACAGGGTAAACTCAAAGTAGTGAACCTGGTCTGGGTCTACATTTTTATTACCCAGTATTATTGCTTTGGAAGGAAAAGGATCTGATAGCTTTAGACAGTGAAACACAATACTGATAATCAATGTTGATGTGACTCCCCTTCATGTGTAGGCACAGGGCAACCACCGTCATTGTCTTCCTCCCTTTAAAAACAAATCCTGTGCTCATCTATCTATTTGGATGACCAATCTTACTCATAAAAAACTAAAGTAGATATTTCTGATGCAGTAAGAATGTTAGAGCCAGCATTATTGCTGGAGAAAGAGACTAATGGAGTTGCTAAGAATGCTTTCTTCTATCTCCCTCTGGCACAGAAGTTGGCTGCCTACCTCGACCCGGCCAATATGGTCATGCTGATCCCTGCAACTATAGCCTTGAAGCCAAGCTACTGCAATGCATGTTAGATGGGACTGCCTTTAAAGCCCATCTGAAAACTTCAATTCTGTCAATTTGCATATTACACCTATTCTGAAAGCACTTTAATGGCAGCCTATTAATTTCTGTATTCAGTTCAAGGTTAATACCCATGCAGCCCTTCATAGTCTAGGATTCACATACCTGGAAGACCACCTGTCCCAGAATAAACCTGTGCTGATTAAGGTGTCCAAAAGGACAAAAATGTAATAAATAAAAATACTTTTATATTGTATTTATATATTTATATTTTGTTTTTAAATTGATTTTGTGTGGCATGGTGACAGGTTCTTTTAGTAAAAAAAACAAGAAACAAAACAGCTAAGACATCATCATCATCATCTCAACACCACCTGCGCCAAACAGGAAAGGAAATCAAAAATTATACTGATACCCCACTTGGCAAGCCACACTGTAAAAGCTCTGGACTGTCAGTCATAAAATCAGCACAGGCCATCACTTGGAACTATAAAGGAAGTGATCTAAAATAGAATAGGTCCTCTTTTGTTATGACATAGGGTTGCATTTTTTTTAACATCAACACAAAACTTCAAGCTTTCATGAAATGTGAAAAGTGTCAGCAATCTGTTTTCTGTCACACCACTTTTGCCAGGTGACTGAAGGAATCCCATTACTGGCTTGTCAGGCACTGTTTTTCCTTCAGTTACTTTGCTGTGGAGAATTGAGGAACAATAAATGCCTGTTACTGAATCTAAAAGAACCAAATCCCCAAGAATGCTATTAAGAACTCTTCATCACACTTCTCAATATTTGTTCACACGATGGTTAAAACCTCTCAGGCTATGTTGTTTTTTTAGTTAAGAAACTGTCATTTTACTCAAGCCAGACAACTAGGAATGAAATTGTTATGAATTTTTAACTTCTGTATGATCTAGCTTAAATCAGAAGTAATACTGACATAAATGATAGTTATTCAGAAAAAGTCAGGTTATTGATGACCAAACACTGCTCTTGAGCACTTCAGTGGAGGCATAACACTTACTACAGTATTCAGAGTTTGCTACAGCACAGAAACAACAGAATGAGATAATGCAATGACAACACACAACCAATTTAAACTAAGATCTTGTCAGTAAAAACCAATGTAATTATTGTCCACAGCAAGTGTACCTGAAACCAACCATTAAACACAAACTGGCCAAATAACTTACAAATGGTATGTTGATAGCAAGCATTTCCTTCCATTTCAGATCCAACATGATCTGGTTTTCCAAAAATTTGGTACCTTAATGTAATTTTCTATCACAATATGCATCTGAAAAGCCACGTGGTTCTAACTGACAGAATCATTCAGCAGCTTTTCACAAAACAGAATCCCGTAATTAGAGTAAATCAAACAGAACAAAAACAAATCATAACATTACAAGTATACAGCATATTACTAAGAAAACCAAATGATTACGTTTAGTCATAGCGAAACTGCAGCAAAATATTAATTGGATTCCATACCCAATGGCCGGACCCACCTTAAGCTTTCGTGCCAATTTAATCCCAAAACCAGTTTCTCATTGGAAAAACTTTCCAGATGGGTTATTTTTTGCACATCCTGCAAAGGCAGGGTGCTATAATCTAACCTGTGCAACCACAAACTTCACAATTGCTGTGTTCCACAAGCACATGACCAGGTTCCCACCCTAGCTGTCAGGCTCCTAAGTTTTCCCCTTCCATTATTACTGAGAGCCAAAAGGATTCCAAGGATTAAAGTGGGCTCTCCCACCTCAGGTTTATTGTGGAGAACCCAATGGAAATAAATGTTTTAGAACTGTGAGTCAAAGGCCAGCTGCCATTATAGAATTTCTCAGATACCACCTGAGAAGTGCTCAAATCAACTTGGAGAACTATAGGCATAGGTTGGCAGAGCATTTTCAATCAACCTACAATCACCACACCATGCATTCATAAGAAGCGACACTTAAATAATCAAACCTTCAAATAGTCCTTCCCAGACATCAACTGCCAGAGCCTCACAACAAAATGAGTTTTCGCAAGTAGAGAAATCTTAAATCTTCACTGTTAAATCTTTGACTTACCATAAGACACTGCCTCTCTGTAAAGACACTGCCTCTCTGTAAAGACATTGCCTCTCTGTTAGCCATGGCTAACTCTGTTAGCCATGGCTAACAAACTGGAAACCAGTCTCACAGATGAACGTTCCCTCCTTGCGGCCCTTACGTTCCTCCCACCACCTCCTTAACTGTGATTGACCAGCTCACTGGAGCTGATGTTAAATTGCTGTAAATACGAATCACAACTTCCCTTAATCTAGGACCTGAACAAAAACACTCTTTAAACCACTTTCTCTCCTTGGCATATCAAGAGTAACATTTCTAAAAATGCACAACAGTACATCTATGAAACAAATACAAAAAGATTTAAATGGGCAGTTTGTGAGGCACCTTCCACACCATCAGTGCTTGCTGAGGCTCTGTCATCCTGCCCCCGGACTGAGGGAGGCTCCCACTGGTCTCAGAATGGGAGAGGAGCAGGTTGCCTCACCTGGTTCCTCTTCCTCCTCCTCCTCCCTGTTGTGCTCCTACCACCCCCCCTGGGCTGCCCAACAACAATCTTGTTGAAGCTAAGCAAATAGGGGCCTGGACTGCACCTGTATGGGAACCTTATATATTTTACTTATAAAACAACAGGCTTGGCCACCATTGATGGACGGTGGGAAAGCACGCAACTCCCTTTTGCTATCTGGTTTGGGCATCAAAAGACACAACAATCTTGTTGAAGCTAAGCAAATAGGGGCCTGGACTGCACCTGTATGGGAACCTTATATATTTTACTTATATAAGTAATGGCAGGATAGAAATACAGTAAATAAATAAAACTGAGTGAAAATACACATTTTCAAAAGCAAAATATATATACACCTCACAAATCATCTACAAAACGGAAAGTTTTCCTAAAGATTATATTTAGTCAATGAAAAACAAACACTTGGCAACTTTGATCTTTGAACTGAAAAATAAAAATCCTGATCAAGGGAGGTGGTAGTTCCGCTCTATTCTGCTATGGTCAGGCCTCACCTGGAGTACTGTGTCCAGTTTTGGGCACCACATTTTAGGAAGGATGTTGACATGCTCAAGTGTGTCCAGAAGAGGGCAACCAGGATGGTGAGAGGGTTGGAATCCAAGTCTTATGAGGAAAGGCTGAAAGAGTTGGGTATGTTTAGCCCGGGAAAGAGAAGGCTTAGAGGGGACATGATTGCAGTCTTCAAATATTTGAAAGGCTGTCATGTAGAAGATGGAACAGATCTATTTTCTTTTGCTCCGAATTGCAAGATTAGATCTAATGGGTGGAAATTACAAGGGAGTCGATACTGGCTAAATATCAGGAGAAACTTCCTAACTGTAAGAGTGGTTGAGCAGTGGAACAGACTGCCTCGGGAGGTGGTGGATGCTCCTTCGCTGGACATTTTCAAGCAGAGGCTGGATGACCATCTTTTGGGCATGTTGTAGGGCTATCTTTCAGCTATGCTCCTGCAGAGTGCAGGGGGTTGGACTAGATGACCTGCAAGGTCCCTTCCAACTCTAACATTCTATGATTCTAAGTGCCATGACTAGTCTCTCTTTTAAAAATACAAAACAGCAGAATCCTTTAGTTAACCTGTAATCCACACATTATTATTATAGCACCTACAAGTACTTTACACATATCAGTACATTTAAACCACTTAATCCTAACGAAATTCTTTTAACTGTTCCCTGGATTGAAACTCCTTTTATAGATTACCAGGATGAATTCTCAACATGTGTGTAGAAGACCAGGAGAAGTTCTATGAACTACTGAAAACACACTTCATCTTTTTAAAGTACTGGCAGATTT